TCTGTGTGTGTGTGTGTGTGTGTGTGTGTGTGTGTGTGTGTGTGTGTGTGTGTGTGTGTGTGTGTGTGTGTGTACGTACCAATAACTTCATGGGGCTGTGTAGCATGTTTCCTGTTTAATAAAACTGTTAGTTTGCAACTCTGAGTTGGTTTTTGTCTTACTGACCTCCTGGCCCTGCTCCAATCTCTGCTCCTCTGACCTTTGGTCTGTCTGTCTTGTCTGTTTGTCATCTTGGCTCCCTCTCTGCCACGTCCAAAACCCCGGCTTTTTCCCTCGCTTCCACCCCAGCACCAGGTGACCCCAAGCCCAAGTTACCTCAAAGGCCCCCTAGTGTTAACACACAGCCACAGAAGTGCGTGTTTGTGTGTGTGCATGTGTGTATCAACCCACAGAGTGTTTGTGTGTGTATATCATTTTGTATCACACCCTCCTGTCTAACAGCGCAATACTGAGATCCCAAGCGTTGATCTGGCATGTGTCAAGTCAACAACAGCACACTAGCAGCAGAACCGGAGCCAGAACTCAGCTCTCCTGACTGACAGATCAGACCATGAGCTTGACAATCCGTTTCTTGCCTGTTTGGGTCCTGTCACCACGTGAACCACATCAAAGATGGGATGATGGCATGGAGACCTCTTTCATTTCCTCCAGGCTGCAGATGAGGCACATGGGTGGAGGATGCCTGTTTCAGCCTATGTTATACCTACTGTGCAGCTAAATTCAGGACTTCATTTTCTAGGGCACCTTTAACCAGCACAGATTTAGGCAGAGAAAAAGCATTCTGCTTGCTGAGTCTCCCTTTACCTCCTTCTGTTTGGCCTCTGAGTTGCATGGCCCCGCCAGCCCTGCTCCCACCCCTGGGCTAGGGACAGCAGTTACACATAAACTGGTTTAAGACTTCAGAAACTGGTTTAAACCTGTAACAGAACAGAGGTTCAGTGCATATAAACCAATTTAAAAATGGTCGAAACTAGGTTAAGATAAACTTGTATGAACGTAGTATCAGTAACTGATTTAGGTCAAGCTGATTTATGAAACTTCTGTCCCAGACTCCTTCCTGGTTCAAGTTAAATCAAAGTCCCCCAGTGTCCCAGAATGCTTTGCAGCCCTGGGCTGGATTGGGCTGTCTGCTTGAGCAGAGAAGATTGTCCTCACCCCTCTGCCTCTAGCCGGAGCAGTCAGAGCTGGCTGACAAAAGGGTGGGGGTGGGAAACCCGGCTGGGGACAGTCCAGTCTGCCTGGTGGGGCAGAGCAGGCCCTGCCAGGCTTTTCCCTGCTGGAGTGGGGGTGGCAGGGGCATGGGACAGCAGGCTCAGGTAGAGGGGAATTAAACCCCGCTGCCTCCCCTCTCCCACCGGCACAGGACCCCAGCTGCGGTCTGCCTAGGTTTTCCCCCTGCTCATGGCTCATCATGGCCTGGGGCCCCCAGAGCTCCCCTCCCAGCCAGGATGCAATTCCACTGCACCTTCCCAGCTGCTGGGGCAGGGGTTTTGCTTGGGGCAGCCCAAGAGCAATGGCCAGATCAGGGGAAGGGAGGGGAGCGAAAATGGCCTCAAGCCCAGGTGGGGACATGCACAGAGAAGAGCACAGAGGGATCGCAGCAGCAGCGGTTCCCTCCTGGACGTGAGCCCCACCTAGCAGAGGGACCCAGGCTAGGGGGATCGGAAAGGGGCTTGAGTGCATATCTGCGCTAGCCCAAGGCAGAGCCAAGCCAAGCCGAGCATGCAGCTGGGGGAGCAGCTCCTGCCCAGTGGGCCCTTCTACCTGCTGGAGACTGGTGTCCGGGCTGGCCCCGGCCCTAGCCCCTGCAGTAGCACACATAGTGCAGGCTTGATCCAGCAGTACCAGGAGGCTAGGCAAGGGTACCAAGAAGCTGGGTGGCACAATGTTGGAGGCTGAGCCAGGCCAGGTGCTGAGCTCCTTCACAGGCTTCAAGGTGGATGGGCACAAGGACTCCCTAGGTGGCGAGGAAGAGATGGCTGCGCCTACCACCACCATGCAGCACATGCTGGATGGCCTCAGCCCAGGGCGCTAACCCTACGGCTTTTCTGCCACCCACACTGTCTGCACCACTGTGCTGCTGAACTGCGGTCAGCCACTTTGCCAGCAGGCAGCTGCAGCAGGGAAGCTGTAGGGGTAGCTCCCCGTGCTGGGCATCGGGTACATGGGGCTGTGCTGCAGGTTAGACTAACCTGCAAAGATTGAATTAATTCAGGCTCAGGCTTTCTGAATTCCTGTACTCAGCCCAGAACATTAAAAAAAAAAAGTCCTGGCTCCTGTCCACCCCTTCACTAGCCAACCCTCTAGTGGCAAGTCACAATTGTGCGGGTCTGAGTTTAACCCGTGACTGCTCTGGAACAGCTCTAACTTTATGATATGACAGCATAACTTTCCAAATCACAGAAGTATTTAGGACAGCATGTCCATCCAAAAACAAAATGTGTGTGTGTGTGTGTGTGTGTGTGTGTGTGCAGAGAATTTATCAGCTCTCTTCAAAAGAATACATGTTGTACCTCGTGGCCCTAGAATGACAATAGTCTATTGCCTTCAAAAAGTTTAATGTATCATTGACTGAAATAATAAATGAGTTTGTATATCACAGTAACGGGCTTAATACTCAAAGTCAAAACTGAGTTCTGAAATGAGACGTGGCAAATTTTATCCCACTCTCTTCACCCCAGAAAGCATTAATCTTCCTCTGGAAACTAATCATGTGCAAATTATTCATAAATCTCAATTTGGGTTTAATTACACCATTGATTTTAAAGCAAAAGCACACCCTACTATATTACCACTAATGAAGCCATTGTGCCTCTGTGTAGGCTTCCAGCAACAACCACCAACCATAATGTGCTAAACAGCACACAGAATGTGCTAATGCTATATCCCAAGCATACTAATATGCTATCTGACAGTCTGCATGTCATCACATCGTGTAAAATACTTTCAAGCAGTGCTCGAGTGACCTCTGCTGGCTCTCTAATATTATATATTAGATTTGAGATTAAGTAGTGAACATCTTTTCTATCCTATTAATGTATAATGCATGGTTCAAATAATTCTCTGCTATTATCAATCATTTTTCTAGGCCTCAGGCCAACTAACACTGACTTTACTTATGTGAATAATATCAGTCAATGAGACCCTCAATTGGTTTAAGTCAACATGGCTGAATTCCCTTCAGATGAGTTCTGCCAATTCACACCATCAAAGGCTCTGGCTAATTAACTTCAAAGAGCCTACTCATGCTCAAGCTAAGCATATGCATATCTGCACGACCAGGCCCTCCTAATCAGCGACTGTTAACATTCATTTTGATAATTCAACAGACAATTTAGAACAAAGTATTTTACTCCTGAAAACACACAAAAAGAATACAAACAAAATAAGTTTAATTAGACTGGAGAATAAAAAAAAAACAAACCACCCATCAGAAAGTTCAAAGTGAAGGCTGAAAATTCAGCTCAAATCCCGCAAGACCCTGTGCATGTGTCTAATCCTAAACACAAGGAACCCTTGCACAAGATGTTAAGCATCTACATGTAAATCTGTAGGACTGAGGCAGGCCTTTGTCTGTGATTCTCCAATGAACCTAAATGTGTACGTTCTTACTGACATGCCTGAAAAAGTGTGTCTGTGCCTGAAAGCTTGCAAAGAACAATTTTTCCAACTATTTAGTAGGGCTGTGCGAAGTTTTCCCAGCCGTTTCAATTCAACGCTGTTTTGACTCATTTTGAGGTCGAAACAGCAAAATCAAGATGAAACAAAGGGCATCAAAACAGCCTCCAAACAAAATGAGGCTAGTTGAAACATTTTGAAAGTCAAAACATTTCGACCATAGTGCTGGGGATAGGAAGTCAGTCCAGCTGGGCTGACTTCCCATCCCCAGTGCAAGATCCGGCAGGGGACGGGGAGTCAGCCCAATTGGGCTGACTCCCCATCCCCGGCCGATCTAGCAAAACATCAAAACAGAGTCAAAACAGCCGTACTGTTTCAACAAAGCAAAACGGAACAGCTGTTTCGAATCAAAATTAAATTCTATACAAAATGCTGTTCCATCCAAACCTCAAAACTCAAGGCAAAAGGGAACGGTGTCATTTCACACAGCCCTACTATTTAGTTGGTCTAATAAAAGATATCGCATCTACCCAAAGAACCTTGCCTGCCTATGTCCTTAGAGCAACACAGCTACAACCAACAACCCTAACTTCTTACTGAATGTGAATATCATCTGGGTTCCTAACACCCTTAGAGTGCTCCGATTGTTTTAGCTTAAACTTGTGCTGTGGGCTTCAATGTAGGGGGCATGGTGTAATCTTAGCTTAATAATAATAACTTTAAGTGATTTTAAGTGCTTCTCTATCCCCTTCATGCTCCTTCTCTAAGCCACATGCCTATCAGTGAATTATAGATATTATTATTAATAATAATGATGATGATGATGATGATAATAATTATAACAGAAGCAACAAACAACAACATCAATAATAACAATAATATCTCACCCCACCCAAGAAGGCTCAGAGCAGTTTACAATAAAGGACAATAGGTAAAAAACAACAGCAGATTCCCCAAATAACACCCAAAAGCTTGAAAACTTAATATATTTGACCAAACCAGGTTTGAAGAGAGAAAATATCTGAGGCGATAAAACACCATTCCTATAGGACAATTAAATGCTAAATTTTATGGCTACCTTGGGAAGTGTGAAAAGCCAAAGTGACTGACAATAGGATTAAACACACTAAAAGCACTCTAAGTAGAAACTAAAAATGCAAGAAACCACAGGTTTGGGAGCATGAGTATTTTCATTAGAATCTAGGGACAGACTACAAAATCTATGTGCATCACCCCTTCAGTGGAGGTCAGATTTATCTCCTTTTGTAAAGTGCTTTGAGTTCCTTGGGTAAAAAGTACAATTATAAACATAAGATATTGTTGTTTCAGTAACAGACTGCAATGTCCTATTGAAGAGAGCTTAACTATATACACTTATCATGACATCAATCAGTATAAGAACTAACACTGATTAAGGCAGAAGACTCTTTCTCCACCAAACGCCACAGTGATTAATGCTCACCATAAACTGAACCACATCTTCAGGTCTGTGTTTTGCCGACTTGAATGCAGCTAGTCGGGTGACAGCTACAATGTGATATTCCACATGGCCGGACATCATCTTCCCACGGATTTCCTGGTACTCTGGCACTGACAGATCTATTCCCGTGTGAGCATTCTGGACTTGCCTAAACAGTGAAATAGGAAACACAGCTCAAACATGGACAACACTTACTGATTGACTCATAGACAGCACGATAAAAAGCCCAGTGAAGTCAATGAAAGAGGCTCCCATTTCAGTGGGCTTCGGACTAAATCTTAGCCCATACCTGTTCCCAGTCAGTGGAAATAGGACTTAGCATAATGGCATCAGCTGTGGTATGAAAGGAAAAAAAAAAAAGAACGTTGCTTCATGCAAAGGTGTTCATAGTAGTAACAACTATATTAAACTTAAACAGGAAATTTGCAGACCTAATGCCATGGTCAGGATGGAAGAGTGCTGCAATCATTCTGAACCAGGAACTTTAAGTCTGATGCCTCCAAAACAAAACCTTTCCAATATGTTGTGACAGTCCCAGACTTGAGTCTAAAGGCAAAATGTTCACAGGTATTTAGGCACCCAGAGAGAGACCTGCCTATAGTGAGAATTTCTAAAGCACCAAAGCAATTGACTCCCAC